GTTTACAGCACACGCGATTTCCGGTTAGCTTCTTAGCTTAGCCTCCGTCACAGCAACATACGTCGCAGCCAACTGATCCAACTTCAGCAGAGGCCACGCCTCCTGCAAGAATCACTTCTCTATGCATCAAGTCCAGACCCTTGTATGAAGCAAAGTGAAGGACAGGGTCTGGTTTWAACCAGGCTAATAAAAACATACATTTAAAAAATACAGAGAAAAAAACTAAACTAAATCAGGGATTGAGGTACTTGGTAACAACTCTCCTTACTCTTTCTCCCTCATCACTGTCTGTCAGGGTGTTCCTCTGGTGGGGGGCTGACACTCTCGGTCCCCCTGCATGGTCCAAACAAGTCACTCTTCATCCACGGGCTCCTCGCGGCTCTCACAGTAGTTATGTAGAACGAAACAGGCCAATATGACATGAGGCAAATCCTTCGGGTTAATGTCCATGGGTCTCCTCAGATGCGAGAACCTGGCCTGAGAAGGGGTTATCTGTGGAATCAAAGTGGGCGTGTCACAAGAGTGGGMGTGTCAAAAGCATAAACACTGTGGGCTATGAGGCCTACATGAYGGTATCCTTATATTCTGCTTGATCTCTTTACAGCCGGACCCTGACCCCAACACTAAGGTTAACCAGGAGAAAGTAGGGGTCTCCAGAAAACGTAGTGCCGTACAGTAATGCCCCTTTTGTTCTTGTCCAATCAGGTGGTGCCGTACGGTATCGCCCCTTTTTTGCTTGTCCAGTCAGGTGTGTCCCTTTAACAAAGTCCGTCAAATCAGGTGTGTCACTTTAGAATCGCCTTTCCTTGCGGCACGCCCACTCGTCCGCACTCTTCCGCAGAGACCCCTACTTGCCTGGCCTTGAGCCGGCCAAAGGTGGACTCTATGACCACGTGAGCCGTCCTCAGACTGAGACAAAACTCTGCTCCTCAGGAGTGGATCCACCATCTGGGTACTCCATCAGGTAAGGTAACAAAGGGTAGGCCGGGTCCCCCAGAAGAAAAACGGGTACGGGCTCCTCGTCCTCCACGATCCGCCTCTCCATGGCAGGGACCTGTCCTGTCCTCAAGCGGCTGTTGATGTGAAAACTGGCGAAAATGTGATCGTCTTCAAAGCTCCCGGGGCACTTGATGACCATGTCCAGGAATCTGGATCTGTAGTCACACACAGCTTGGACGTTCAGGGAATATTTGCCCCTTTTGTTCCTGTAATCTCTGGGATTAACGGAAGGTYGTTTGATTTCGACGTGAGTCCCGTCCAGGGCTCCTAAACACTGCGGGATGCCGTGAGCGTCCTGGAACCCGGTCACCAGCGCCTGGGTCTCGGGTTCGGTGAGAGGCAGCCGGATGTGTTTTGGGCCGAGGTGGATGCAGRTGGCCCGGCAGGTCTGCCTGATGATGATGGACACGGTGGACCGAGACTAGCYGAACGCGTTTGCTGTTTTCTGCAGCGTGGTGCCCTCGTCACTCAGGTAATACAGCGCGCACGCGACCTTCATTAGCACGTCGACAGGTAGCCTCATGTTCGTCGCAGTGCCTTCGATGTGAGGACGGAGCTCTTCAGCTAAAGCGCGCAGGGACATCTTGGACACGCGGAAGACCTCCCTTCATTTTGTTTCATCCGTGACGTCATTTAGACAGCCGTCCCACCACCTGCTCGTCCTCCCCGGGTCCGCCCAGTAGCGTCTCGTGGCCCTCCACTATGGAAAGCCCTAAGTGCCACCAAACGGGCACTTTACAACGTGTTAAACTTAAAACGGCGTTTTTTAAGAACAGCAGACACGTTCGGCTTGTCCCGGGACTCACGTTTTAAACGCCATTTTTAAAGTTTAACCCGATGTAAAGTGCCCGTTTAGTGGCGCTTTGGGCTTTYGATACTTATGGGCTTTCCATACTCCTCCTCCTCCTCCTCCTCCTCCTTGTCGCTCGCCTCCCACCAGCTTCGTAGGCCAACATCTGTAGAATCAAACGCAAGTTGCACCTCCGCCGCCGAGCCAAGACGTGGCAGAGAGCAGACGTTTTCTCCAGCAGAACCCCTGTTAGACCAAACAGAGTTTGCAGCATCAACAGCACTCGGCTGTCCGCCATTATTACTGTTGTTGTTGTTGTTGTGTGTTGATTTACCCGCGCAGGGAGAAGTTGCCAGATAGGAAATGACGAAACGCTCCCAAGTAGGTACACAGATATATAAAGGTTAGATAAGTCATCCCCGCTGTTGGCCAATGGAAACCGACAGGTAATAAAAATACAAAGCAAAATTATACACAAGTCAAAAATAGTACAAAATAGTACTGGCAGTGGTAATTAATATGAAAGAACCCTGCTTCTAGATCTATCTATCTGTCTATCTGTCCGTCCGTCCATCCGTCCGTCCGTCCGTCCGTCCGTCCGTCCGTCCGTCCGTGTGTGTGTGTAAAGCACTATTTTATTATGTAAAAGAATTGTAAAGGCTAATATTTGCATGTCTTGGGAAAAATATAAAACATTACCACTGCTAGTACTATTATGTACTTTTTTAATAGACTTGTGCATAATTTTGCTTTATATTTGTACCTGTAAATGTATTCTGTGTATATATTGATATTGTTTTACCTACCGAAATAATGTAATTATTAAATGAATGTCCATTATATGTATGYTATTTTATAACAAACAACTGTTTGAAAAGCTGATGAAAACTGATCAAGTTATGGTCATTTAAATAGTAAATACACCACACACAGTCATGTTAGAAGTGGGCGAGCTCTCCGTCCCAAGATGGCCGCCATGTGAGGACGCCAGAGTCTCAGCTATGGCTAATCTAGCTTTTATATGTGTAGGTAGGCGTGATGGGAGGGGCTACTTTCTATGCCGGTCTGTGATTGGTGAGCGTGGACCCACAGTTAAAAATTAGCCTCTCATAAGAAAGAAATGGGGGTTTATTTTTCAAAGTCAGATTATCACCATGTTATTTATACATTAGTGGACCCATTTTGATGAGAAAGTTGTTCCGCCAACTAAAATAATTGCAACTTCATAATTTTATTTCTCACGATTTGGTTTCTTACAAACAGCAGRGATGTAGTTATGTTATCGGACACGGTTACACATTAAAAATAAGAGCTTTTCATGCTGAAATACGTTGTTTTATTCTCTTATCACTAGGAGGCCTTCAAAATGTGAARAAAARGCYCAGGAAGAGAGAACCAGTTCCTGCTGTTATCATTTTGTTGATTGCCAAATAACATTAGCTACAATGATAAAATATTTTAAATGTCAAATAACCAAAACTATTGTTCAGTCTTACTTATAAAAAGGTAATCCCATGTGATCTGCTTTCAAAACGGCACAGATTAATGCACCAAAATAAGGGCATAGTCGCTCGCTTTTGTGCTACCTACAGTGAGAAGACCCATCCAATATGGCGCCGTCTCACGTGCGATCCAGCTGGATCACAGATAGCTATGATGCCCACCGTAGGCTGTCTAGTTCTTGCCATATGATGTCTATGGTGGTGACGACGTCAAATCAAAGATGTGCAACAGCATTACAGGGAACAAGAGCAACTCTTCTCCACTTCCGGTGTTCGCTGACCCGGACATGTTCAAACACGGATATGTCCGTCAGACTGCTGAACAAGGTCAATTTACGTAAATGTAAGCAGTTTAACATGTCATACTAGCAGATAAGTTTACTTAAAAATAGAWTAAATTAGATTAAACGTTAGTGATCCCTTGGAACTTTCCTCCAGGGAAAATAAATTTCCAGCAGTATCACACAGGCRTTAAAACAGGGACAGTAGCAAAGTAGTCACAGAAAGCATAAATACAAAATTAAAAATGATAAATAAACAGATTTARCAGTAAATAATTCTGTATAACCAGTCGCTGAACAGGCTCCTCTGGTGGTGTGCAGAGGGTGACTGCAGTTCTCTGCTACGTCACCACAGAGTCCAGCTTCATGCCAACAACACGGCTGGCCCACTTTGGTCCAGCCTGGATGTATCCTTCTTGGATATGAGCCCCCCGAACAGGAAGCGTGCTCCAACCCTTCCAGTGTAAGAGGTTGTGTGTGTTGTCTGGTCCAATTTGCTGCCTAGCCACAATTCAAGGTACTTCTACAGTCTCCACCACAGAACTGGTGTTGACTCCAAAAGTCACCAGCTCCTTTGTCTTTGGGGCATTATGGGGTTGTAGATGGTCAGGGTGGCATRATCTGCAAACTTCTGGATGTGACACAGMTAAGAGTTGCAGGCRTGCAGGAGGAAAGAAGAGGGACCAGCACCGTGCCCTGAGGTGCTCCATAGCTGCTCRTCAGTGTCCAACATACTGAGGCCTATGGTGAGGTACTTTGATCCAAGGGGTCCACTCACATCCTGTTCAGTTTGTCCTGAACACCTTTACAGCAACCTGCATAAGGAAATGGTAAATTAACTTTAAACATARCGTTAAATATTCCAAAGTTGTGTTTAAACAAAAAAAGAAAAATTTTTATAGGAAGAGGAATAGTTTCCTAAAGATGAAATACATCAGGGTTATGATTATTTGACAGCTTGGGAGAGTAACTCTCTTGTCATTGTTTCCTCTTTGTTCGGACTTGAACCCTGTGTTTCCTCTGTCAGCTGAGCTGCAGCAGAGTGAGCTCAGCTCATTGCAGTTATGGCGGAAATCAGCAAAACGGAGAAAGTTCAGCTGYACTCTCCGTCTCTGGAAGAGCTGCAAGGAGGTAAAGACTTCAGCTCTGGTGTGAAGACGAAGTGATGTAGATATAATGTAAAAAATAAAGACAGTGTTTCTCCTGGTTTCTTACAGCTTTACAGGCTGGACTGGAAAGCAATTTTGCAGAAGTTCAGGTGAGTGTTGTGGAGTGTCCAGATCTTACCAAGGAACCCTTCAACTTTCCTGTCAAAGGTAAAATACTTCACATTTCTGTACATTTAGTTGCAAAATAGCAGGTACAAATACTCCTTGTGCTGCAGGCAGAGTACCACAAAGTGATACTTGAGTAAAAGTTTATTATCAAAGTATATTATCAAAAAATTACTTTGGTAAAAGTTAAAGTCTCCTTTGGGAATTGAGTAAAAATATTTAAGTATCTGATATTTTTGTACTTAAGTATTAAAAGTAAAAGTATTGATTTAAAATGAGCAGTTAGATTTTCTGTAAGGACATTTATTAGGAGGTGACCTCCTCAAAAACTGTAGACACGACTGTCGTATTAAAATAATTAATTAATGTTAAATTTAGGATGCATTAGTCTAACTGTTTCAGTTTATATACAAATATCAAGGCTTACTGAGATGCATCAGGACAAATATCAAGGCTGCACAAATATTTTCCCCAAAATGAAACTCTATCTGAGGGCTGTGGGACAAATGTAATAATATAATTCATGAAATACAAATACTTCTTAAGTACAGTCCTTTTATTTTAATGATTATATCCTGCTAGAGTGTGACAGGATTTGTTTGTGTACAAACTAATACGGTATCAAGAGTTTTATATATTTATACTTCTCATTCAACCACAATTAAATTCACTCTATCTAGGAGGCACAATTTTTATGGACATTATTTATTCTTTACAAAAACAAGCTGGAATGAAAACAAGCAAAAATGAAATAAAAGAAACAACTTTTTACTTCTTGCCTTTTTTTAAAATGTAAGGAGTAGAAAGTACAGATAATTGTGTGAAAATGTAAGAAGTAGAAGTAAAAATTAGGCTGAAAAAAATTACTCAAGTAAAATACAGATACCCCAAAATTCTACTTAAGTACAGTAACAAAGTATTTGTACTGAGTTACTTTACAACTCTGGCTGCAGGGCTGTGTGGAAACCCTCGCATTACTGATGTTGGAGGTGTACCCTACCTGGTCCCATTGGTCAAAAAGAACAAGGTAGTTAATATTTTTAATGAGGTCACCACAGGCAGACATTTAATGGCGACGTCTTCTTCTGATCCTCGGTCCTTCCTTGTTTCAGGAGTACAACATGAACGCGGTATCGAAGGAGCTGGAGCTGCCAGGAGCGTTCATCCTTGGTGCTGCAGCCGCCCCGTCCAGAGTTATTGGGATGAATGCCGAGGTGAAGTGTGTGGATTATCCAAACTTCTCACGATGAGTTAATTTCTCGGCACGTGTTACAAAACAGCATGTGCACACTGCAGGTCTGACGACTTAAATTATTATCTTTTGAAGAGTAAATAATTAGCTGTAAACACATTTTTAAGAGTTTTAAGGCAAAAGAGCTGRGCAGTAGTAACCACTGTTACATGATTAGTAACAAAACAAGCTGACAGAATTTTCCTTAAAGACATATTATGAAAAATCCTCTTTTTTACCCTTAAATATATTTTGTTGTGCACTCTGAGTCTCTAAGAGTGCAGAAAAGTTTAATTTAGTCACTCCAGGGGCCTCGTGTACAAAGACTTGCGTGGATTTCTTACTGAAACCTTACATACGGTCAAATCCAGAAAACGGTGTATGCACAAAAAAATCCAGATGCATCAAACCGTGCGTACGCCTGAACCCACGCACATTTCTTTTGTACATCACAACGTGGAACTGAGCGCAGGTAAGACACCTCCCCTGACACGCCTTCATTAACATATGTTAAACAGATGCTAATTACTTCCTGCATGTGTGAAGGACACGTTTGTTTGATCCCTGCACGATCAGAAATGATTTCTAATGTCACAAAAGTAATGAATTTAATATAAAGTGAGTGTGAAAAAAATCCTAAGTAAAAACAGGAATAAAATATGTTTATCACGCAAAGAACGAGCGATTGTGTGTGTGTGTGTGTGTGTGCGCGCAAACTGCTGTGTTG